TGACACTACGAGAAAACACGCGATTATCGTCAGACGTTCAGGCAGATTTCTTTTCGTTAGAAAGTACGGCGTTAACACCGTCGTATTTTGTGCCTGAAAAACAACGGCGTTATTTCTAGCGGAAAGAGCGCCGGTAGTTTTCCGACGCTTAATACGCCGGTGTTGATGTCGAAAAATACAAGAATTTCAATTTGAACGGCGGATTTTACGACGAAAATATACCGGCGCATTTATTGGCGGATAAGACAACGGTCATTTTATACTCAACGATTTGTTACTAGCGCAATAGACCCCGGAAAACTTTCCGGCGCAAAAGACGCCGGAAATGCCGGCGTCGAAAGTCATATTTCTGAACCCGATCCGGCCTAGCTGCTCATTTGCTTCCGCCATTTCTCTCGCATCTCCGCTCTTCTCTCGTCACCCCAGCGTCGCCTCACCCTAGATCGCCGTCGTCGAGGCTTCTGGACGTTCACGCGACGTCGCCGACGATCACCGCCTTCATTGTCGGTGAAAGGAGACTGATTTGGCAAAAATCCACCGTGAGTTTCCGAAGTTTGCCGCCTCCCTATTTCGTCGATTGTAAGATTTTTCTTCATGCAATTTGTTATTAGACATTTGCTAGAGGATGTGCCTTCGTGTTTGGTTTTGCTTAAGTTGTTCTTTTTGTTGATAAGTTTCTCAAAACCAATTTGGATTCATGCCGGGTAGGTCTATTATGGAAGCCATACATTTATTGAGAGATTTGATGGAGAAATATAGAGAGAATAAGGAGGTTCTACATATGATATTTATTGATTTAGAGAAATCATATGATAAAGTTCCAAGAGGAGTGCTATTGAGAGTTCTTGCAAAAAAAAAAAGAGATAATAGCGTTTATATTCAAATCATTAAAAATATATATGCATGAGCTATTACTTGTGTTCAAAGTAATTTCCTATTTCAGTTGGATTACATGAAGGATAAGTAGGGCTGCAAGCGAACCAAACGTTCGACAAGCTACTCGTTGTTCGGTTCGTTTAAAGCTCGTTCGTGATCGTTTAATTAACTAAACAAACAAGCTTGAACAATATTTTAAATACTCGATTCTTAAATAAACAAGCTTGAAAACTAATGCGTTCGGCAAATTTATGTTCGTGAACAACATCATTTGAAGTTCGTGAACAAGCTCGGCATTAAGCTCGATAAGAAGCTCGATAAAAACTCAATTCGTGTTCGATTTTCAACTTGAATATATGCACTAGCAAATATGATTCATGTTTAATATAATCGTTGACTTCTCTTTTAAAGGTATGTCTGAAAATTCACTAAAGCAGTTATGATTGACAGTTCATGATGTCCAAATTAGTGTTGGGTCATCTTCAACTCCAACAGTTGTAACAGAACATGTCCAACTAGAAAATCCTTTTACTAAGAAAGCACGAAAAAAACCTCTCAAGAAGCAAGAGCAATCCTTCTATGGCCACTAACTGTTACTGGATCAGTGATTGCTGCAGGTATCAAATATTACTTAACTTATTGTCTAAGTAATTGTAGCTTTATATGGCTATTTATTTATAAATCATTGCCTTTATTAATGCTGATATTAGGAAAATTCTGAGAAGATGGGATTTGCTTATAAATCATTGCCTTTGTTACATAGACAATTGATTTTATTATAAATGTGTTTGTTTATAGATATGTTCATGAAGGTGTTTGTTTTATAGTTAAAAAAAAAGTCGTTAGATATGTTCGCAAACATGCTCGATGTAATCGTTTGTTAGGAAGCTCGATAAAGCTCGTTTGTTAAGTTAATGAACGTCTAAAAGTAGAGCTCGTTTATAGCTCGTTCATGTTTGTTTGTTTAAAGCTCGATAAACACTAAATGAACGAACATGAACTGAACATGAACCAAACATGAACACTCATTATTTTAAATGAACCAAACAATAAAGCTCGAACAAACATGAACCAAACTTGAACAGCCTGATATTAAATGAACACTCACATACTCGGCTCGGCTCGGTTCATTTGCAGCCCTAAGGATATACGTTGGTGTATGCTTTTTGCTGATGATATTCTTCATGTTGATAAGATTAGAGATGTAGTTGTGATTCAAAAGGATTTTGTCCGCCGGTAATACTTGGTTTTTCTGTAGTATGATTCATTGCCTCCTTCAGGGGCAGATGAAGCAACACATGAAATCACCTCCCTCTGATCAGATGAATGGCTTCATCGCCAACAAAAACACAGCAACATACAAATTACTGCGGAGGTGAGGGCCTCCAGTGGTGGTCTGGCAGAGGTAAGTACCTCCAGTGGTGTTCCGGCAAAGGCGAGGGCCACAGGTGGTGGTCCGGCGAAGGTCCGATGATGGTCGAGGAGCAGCTTCTTCCTTCTCTTCTCTTCTTGCTTCGATCCCTCCTTAAGAGAAATGAGGAGTCTATTTATAAATTTTTAGAGTGGCATGGCCCGTAAATAGGTGAGAGATCAAGGAAAAATAGGGAGTGGTTGGATGGACGACCGATATTGAATCACTTGATTATGGACCGTTCATCAGACATTTGAAGGTCTTATTGATGTCAGAATTTGGTGATCATGGGCTCGTTTGATTCGACTATAAGCACGTAATGTTTGAAAATCATTTAGTAATTCAAATTGTGGTTTGAACCTTCCAACAGCGCTTCGGGTCCTTTATTTGGACTCATTTGGGCTCGGATTGAGTCAAATTTGGTGTCGTTGGGTTCGTATTTTTGAGACGCTCAGTTTGACTATAAGTTTGCTGAAATCGGAGTTCGGATGGTCCCAATTTAAATTTTAGAAGTTTCCAACTTGATTTTGCATCGAGATTCGTCCCCCCTCATTTCCTCTCTTTCTCTTTTCCCAGCCCTCTAACTTCTCCAAGAAACTCCTACGCCGATACCCTCCAAGTCGTCATTGCCCTTCCACATCAAATCCTTCTCGTTGCCCGATTGTGATGATTAAATTGTGCCAGAGGCGTGAGATTGCGTATTTCAACCACCGTCGGCCACTTCCAACTCTTCCTTTTTTTGTCATCTCCTAAACTTACCAACTCATGCCTCGTCCTCATTGAAGGAAGTGACACTACAAGAAAACACGCGATTATCGTCGGACGTTCAGACATATTTCTTTTCGTCAGAAAGTACGGCGTTAACACCGTCGTATTTTGCGCCTGAAAAACAACGACGTTATTTCTGGCGGAAAGAGCGCCGATAGTTTTCCGACGCTTAATACGCCGGTGTTGATGTCAAAAAATACAAGAATTTTAATTTGAGCGGCGGATTTTACGGCAGAAATATACCGACGCATTTACTAGCGGATAAGACGACGGTCATTTTATACTCAACGATTTGTTACTGTCGTAATAGACGCCGGAAAACTTTCCGGCGCAAAAGACGTCGGAAATGCCGCCGTCGAAAGTCCTATTTTCGAACCTGATCCGATCTAGCTGCTCATTTGCTTCAGCCATTTCTCTCGCATCTCCGCTCTTCTCTCGTCGCCCCAGCGTCGCCTCACCCTAGATCACCGTCGTCAAGGCTTTTGGACGTTCACGCGACGTCGCCGACGATCACTGCCTTCGTCGTCGGCGAAAGGAGACTGGTTTGGCAAAAATCCACCGTGAGTTTCCGAAGTTCGCCGCCTCCCTATTTCGTCGATTGTAAGATTTTTCTTCATGTAATTTTTTATTAGACATTTGCTAGAGGATGTGCCTTCGTGTTTGGTTTTGCTTTGCTTAAGTTGTTCTTTTTGTTGATAAGTTTCTCAAAACCAATTTGGATTCATGCCGGGTAGGTCTATTATGGAAGCCATACATTTATTGAGAGCTTTGATGGAGAAATATAGAGAGAATTAAGAGGTTCTACATATGATATTTATTGATTTAGAGAAAGCATATGATAACGTTCCAAGAGGATTGCTATTGAGAGTTCTTGCAAAAAAAAAAAAAAAGTTAATAGCGTTTATATTCAAATCATTAAAAATATATATGCATGAGCTATTACTTGTGTTCAAAGTAATTTCCTATTTCGGTTGGATTACATGAAGGATAACTGGATATACGTTGGTGTATGCTTTTTGCTGATGATATTCTTCTTGTTGATAAGATTAGAGATGTAGTTGTGATTCAAAAGGATTTTGTCCGCCGGTAATACTGGGTTTTCCTGTAGTATGATTCATTGCCTCCTTCAGGGGCAGATGAAGCAACACGTGAAATCACCTCCCTCTGATCAGATGAATGGCTTCATCGCCAACAAAAACACAGCAACAGATAAATTACTACAAACATTAGGAGGGTCGTTCCTGCCACAATATACTTCCAAGTGTTCTTGCTTTTGAATGAGCTGGAGCTTGAATTAAATGTTAGCGGATTTAGTTGTACATTTACATACCCTAGCAATAAGAACGAAAAAGACAAAAATTCAACTTTCTTAGCATATCTAGCAGAAGAAGCATGACAAAGGAGAGAAATATCGTTACCTTGCGGACGAGATCGCTTTCAATTCGACAGCAACAACATCGTCGTCTGAGGAGAAGCTCGAAGCGAGCGACTCTGTCTGAAGCACTTAGGCCTCAACAATGAAGAAATGGAGAAAATGAAAAAGCAAACCTACAAAACATGGGAGTGGAAGGCACGAGAAGACCTGCTCGAGCGAAAGGAGACAGGAGTTTTAACTGGAGGTAACGGAGTGTTATTTTAGATGAAGAGAATGATATTTAGGTGGTAGATAAATAAATATCATAGTTTAGGTATTAGATATGGAAATAGAATAATTTTAGGTGTTATTTATGTAAAAATCCCTTAATTTTTTTATGTAATTAACTTATTTAAATTATGTCTATTTTCATATTAGAAATGGAATTTACTTGGAGATAAATTTATGTTTGATATAACTGTTACTGTATTTTAAAATATTTTTCAATTGGAGATGCCCCTATTATAAAATACAAAATCTTCATATATATAGTACTAATTTTAAAACAAATAAAAAATCTACCAACAAAAATAATGGTAAAATGCAAGGCCTGCATTTATCTTTTTATAAACATAATAGTACAAATCTCTCTGCCAAGTCCCTTTGTTCAGTTAATAATATGCAATAACAGATCATCTTCCAGCTAGATCATCTGCAGCAACACAAACGCAGCACATGGTGGCATGTGCTGCCAGGCCAATGGTCGACAATCCATTAAAAAAAAATATTTAGAAGAAAATGGCGCTAGTTTTCGGTTCCCTTCCTTCAGTAAAGATTAACATGGAAATTTTCAAAAAATGCGATTCAGTTGCATAATCTAACAGTACAGGCCACAGCTTGCGCCCAATACTTCAATCTTGCTTTAACTTCATCCGGATCATCTCCTGTTCAAACAAGAAGGGATACAAATCAATTCGTTGTAACATGAAGAAGTTTTGATTTTTCCAACGATCGAGTGTAATAAGGAGATAATTACAGATTAAATATGTTAGATTCGGTGCTTTGGGAAGAATTTTTGAACTTACAAACTGAAAATGAATGGAAACGAAAACACAATTTGAAAAAAAAAAAAATTTTGTTTGGAAGGATATACGTTATGGACGTATCTTCTTCAGTTTAATTTTGCATAATTTCCGCTTGAAACTGATACTGGGGGCAAATCATTAAATTATTTTGAAAGGCGTACATAAATTTAGAATAAATGGAGTGAATTAATAGCATCAATTACTGGTTAAATTGATATTATGTTGTAAATATCTCGAACGAAATTTCTTCCCATGTGGAAAAATTGGCTTTCTTGTTTAAGATTCAACTTACAATGAGGAGAGAAAGCGGTAGGTCATTTATTCAATAGGGAAATATATATAAAGCTGATTTTTCTGGAAATTACGGGAGAAAGAAGAAATCAGAGGAAAAAAATTCAAAGCACGAAGAAATAATTATTAGATCAACCACCTATGTAAAATAGCTATCGAGTAGTTCAGGAAATCCATCCTACGGGGCTGTTTGGTAGCAGGATTTAGGCCGGATTTGATGCGGATTTGAGCGAAATCCAGCCAAACGGCCTAAAATGCAAAACCAAATCTCACGGCAAGTGAAATCCGGATAGACGGAAAATTCCGCCGATTCGAGCGAAATCCGGGATTTTATGAAATCCAGGCGCTAGAGTAAGAGTCCCTTGGATAAATCCTGCTTTATAGCCAAACAGTCACACAGGATTTAATTGGATTTATCATAAATGTTACCAAACAGTTTTCAGGATTTAACCCCTCAGAATTTCGTAAATCCGGGATTTATAGGATTTACGAAATCCTACTTAAATGAAATCCTACATTCTACCAAACAGCCCCTACAAGCAATCAAAAACCTTCTTCCGAAATCGTGCAATCAAACTTCTCCCAAGGAAAAACAAAAATCAACGAAATGTCCAAGTACACGAACGATCTCAAATAGAGAATCGTAAAATACGTGCAGTTATCGCCACAAATCAAAGCATTCCTACAATCGGATTCCTAAACACAAAACAGATCTTCGAGAAAGAGAAATCCCTAAGAACAAAATCATTAAACCTTTCTTACCTGGGCTGGAAATCTTCCAATTAGCTATGGGCGCCGACGGCGCAGCCGAGCCATAACCAACCCCCACATCGCCATCGAGGGAATGCCTCTGCTGCTCATCAAGGAACTTTTGGCTCATCGAATAACAAAGCTCGAGAGCAGGCAGCGTGTTGCAAAGCTCCGGGATTTCCTCATAGTTGAACCCGAACCCTAGATCCAAACACCCTTTCAAATCCTCAAGATCTTCATCCGTCAAGCTCTTCGTCCTCCCTACCCCTTCGCATCCACCCTCAGATCCCTTCTCTCCACCATCACCCACTTCTACGTAACCCTCTAGCATCACCGAGCCGCCGCTCCTCCCTTTCGACGGCCACACCCAATCGGTTTCAGCCTTCCTCAGTACTTCTCCTTCCATTATTCTCGACTTTTCGGATTTCTTCTTCTTTACCTTAGATTTTTTCTTTGTGAATGAGAAGCTAGGGTTACAATTAGAGATTGAAAGAGGGGAAGCAGGGCACTCTCTGTCTAAGGAAGAACTCTCCATTTTCCTTTCACTGCTCTTTTTTCTCAGGTGGCATCGCGCTTTATAATTTACATTTACATTCTGAATGGTTTGCCGCAGGGTTAATAATATTACGCAACAGAGGAGTAAGAAAATACTATGCTTAAGAGCCCTTCGATTCGCTTTAATATACGTGCTATTGATTTGAGATTTATCATTAACCATGCAATGCATATCCTCTTCAAAAAAAAAATACTTTCTTGTACCGATTTAATTTATTCTTAAAAATTGGAAGTAAATCTAATTATCAGCTAACTTAACTGATAAAATATTTAAAAAATTATGTCAAAATTTTAAAATTGAAGTCATCATACATCATTATTCAATACTCAAAATTTTTCTAATAATAATAATCTTACTAGAAAATTAAGGGAATGTTTGAGATAAATTTTTTGATATTTTTTTAGATAACAACTAAAGTTTAGTTTGACGATTTTTTTTTTTTTTGCATTTTAGTGGTTATTTATCAATTTTTCTGGTAGAAAATTGCTTTAGTCGTTGGTCATGCCGAAGTCTGATGGCAGTCGTTGGTCGGGCGGAAGTTTCGTGGTAGTCGAGGAAAAGTTTGGTGGCAAAAGAACTCTAGTTCCTCTCTCTTTCTTCTCTTACTTGATTGGGTCCCTTTTCCATGAGAAATGTGGGATATATTTATAATTTTTTGATAGTGGCATGTCTAATAAATATGAGGGAGATAAAAGAGTAAGTTGGGAGTGGTTTGAATTGATAGCCGGTGTTAATTCCCATGATCGTGGACCATTTATTGGGCATTTGAATATCTTAATAATATTAAATTTAGGGATCTAGGACTCGTTGGATTCTCGTTGAGCCGCTCGATTCGACTATAAGCATGTCATGTTTGAATATCGTTGGTCATCCAATTTGTGGTTTGAGCTTTCCAAATATATTTCGGATCTTTGATTTTAACTCATTTGGACTCGGATTGAGTCTAATTTTGTGCCGTTGGATCTGTATTTTCGACACATTCAGTTCGACTGTAAGTTTGCTTAAATTGGAGTTCATATAGTCCCAGATTTAATTTCGAATATTTCCAACTTGATTTTGCTTCAAGATTTGTGCCCTAACAAGATAATTTTTTGATTATATGTCATAAATATATTTTTAAATAGGTATAATACAAAAGTAGTTAATATTATATTAATATTAAAGCACTTCAAATAATTTTATGATTCATCTTAATCATTTTTTACCAAAAATTTTTAATATTAAAATGTTCATTTATTCAATTATTCATGAAGCGCTAAATAACCTTTTTTTTTTAATTTATATATTAGACTCAAATTTATATATTTATTAAAATAATATTTAATAGACGTCATAAAATTACCATCACAGTCACAACTCACAACTGAATGCTGATCTGAGTATGGCCAAATAACACATAAGCCTTGAAGAAAAACTTAGTAAAGGCCAATAAATTATGAATGCCATATTTGTAACTCTCAACGCTTTCATTGATTAGGTTTGTGTGTACACATTAATTAAATTCTATAGTTGGTCTTAGGCAGGTGAGCTTTGCATGTTTGTTGAACAAGTTTGAATGATAATAAGTCAATGTGAATAGACTAATAACAAGAAATTAATGAAACCCTTACCTTCATAAAAAATAATTAGATGAGATTCATACATTATTGTTTGATATGATATGATCTCTTAGAATTATGAAGAATAGAGTCATGATCTTAGAATTTTGGTCACATAAAGCGGCGGCCTTCTAATGACCCGATTAGGAGATTAGAGGTATTAGATTTGACTTATGTTAAGAAAGGTAGAGGTAAACCTAAAAAGACTTGGTTAGAAAATATTAGGAATGACCTTTCTTTATTAGATTTAAACGATAATTTGACCTTTAATAGGACACAATGGAGAAAAAGAATTCATGTAACCGACCTCACGTAGTGGGATAAAGGCTTGATGTTGTTGTTGTTGTTGTTGTTGTTGTAGAGTCATGACTGAGGGGTTGAGAGTTTTTTTCATCTCTTTTTGCTCAAATCAAATAGTTTAACCTATTAGATTCTAAAAAATTTGCACCAAAAAAATTGAAGCATGTATTCATGTTCTAGAGTTTAAACCCATTTAACAATAAGCTAAATATAGCTTATAGCAAAAACAAATTATTAAATTTATGAATTTTAATCATTTCCATAGGTATGGTTAGTTTATTATTTAAGGTTAATTATTAGCTCATAAAAATTTTATATGGCCAAACATAGATTTTGACGCAACGTATTGATGGAAGCTGTGGAGTTAATTTTTTAATTGTATAAAATCTAGGGGTTGTATCATCTCTAAATAATTAGATTTTCTTTGATATAATTAATAATAAACCCCACTTAATTTATTCAAGTATATGTGCTGAATCAAGTAATACAGTAATAGATTAGAGTGTCAAACCCATGAAAAAGTATGCTATTGAAACTTTTCATGTAATGTGATTTAGAGCATATACATCCTTAGATATATATCGAGTTTGTAGGGGTGAAAATGATATATTCTAACATCTTACAGTTATAATATTTTCTTAAAAACTTAGAATAGTTTACATCCTATGTCTAGGCATGTAAAACAACATATCTCAATACTCATTGTTGTTCTTGCATTCCTCTGTCGAGGCCATACATCACACTAAATTTTAATTACACATATGACCACTATGTGCATTAAAAAAATAGCTAGATAATATTAAAAATATATTTTTAAAGTTTATAGAACCTGAGGTTTCTTTAGTACTAAATAAAGATTTTATATTATCGATCCAAAATAAAAGAATTAGTCATACATGAAATAAATAACTAGCAAACTTATTTTCATTAAATTAATGGAAGAATGAAAAATACAAAAGAGTATCTCCTCTACACTCCTTCCTTTAACTTATAGAGTTGCTTTAAGAAAGACAGGGTAAAATGCTCCAAATGATTGTATCTTGTACTTTATATCCTTAGATATTATTCTAAGAGAACTAAAGAAGTACTCTAAAAATACTAAAATTACATCAACTGGCTGAACTCACTTTTAAACATAACACCATAATTATTTATAAAAAAATAAAAAAATGGCAACTTGCACTGCGACGTTTGGATTAATGGTGTTGCAGCACCCCTGAAATAAACCAGCGCCTCGACACTAAAGTTTTTGCGCTGCCACAACGCTTACTAACATGGATCGGTTACTTAGTAAACAATTATGTCTCTTCTCTGATAGAACATATCACTTGGAAGTTACAACAACAATGCTGCGGTACTATGGACATTGAAGCGCTGCAGTATTTAAAACTAGAGAATTTGACGCTGCCAAGCTAACTTTTTGACACCACAACGTTGATAATGTTGTGGAGCTATCTGTGTTGCCACAGCAGCGCTTGCAAATAGGGCACCATGTCAAAATTTGAGAGCCTCTGTGATTTTAAAGGTAGCTAGCACTGTGGCATTGTTTTGTCAGACGTCGTGGTGTCGAATGCTCCTTTAGTATTTTTTTCAATTTTTGAGTTTTTTCTTGCAGACGAACTAACTAAAATAACATATTTTCACACAAAAAAAATCATAAAATAATATATAATTTACATTTATCAGGTATGTATATCAAAATAATTTAGATGGTTAGACATATACACTCAACTTTGCTTTAAAAAATAATTCATATATTAAATGAACTTGATGCACTATAAAACCATTTCCAAATAGATCGTCTCCTCACGGCATATCAATGACATCAAAATTTTATAGTTTGCAGCCCAAATAAATCTGATCGGATTGAAATAGGGCGAAAAGATGATTGTGGTTGACCGTCTTCTTCCTCATGTGCAGCCAACCACACTAACACACACTCGTTATTGTGAGAATCATAAGACGAGTTTTTTAATTTTCAAAGGCTCTATCAACTCCACATATCTTCATTTCATGTTAATGGCTATAATCGAAGATATGTCTATTAAAAACTTTCAATAAATAAAAAAAAAAAATATACCATTGCCATTTTTCAATGGCCCCAAATTAGAGCACAAGTCTTTTTGGAAATATTTTTGTCCATCTAGCCATCATAATTTATATATGTCACATCAATTGGACATGTGGTAGTGAGATCTACAATATGATGAATTAAAATTACTTAATCAAAATGTTCTTATCAAAATCTATAAATATGAGGAATATTATGATATTCTTTGAAAATTTAATGACAATAATATTATTATCAAAATCTATAAATATGCATAATTTTTTTTTCATTTATTCACAATAATATCATTTACGTTAATCAGAAGATCACTCTACAAAAGAATAAAAGAATTCACAAAATAGTTCAAGTTAATTAAAAAAAAAAGTGTTGTGCACTATCATAAGTAGAATGAATTATATATAAATCATTGACATAAGCAAGTAAATTATATAAAGATGGATTGTTCAAACATGTCGGCTTACTTTCATTAGTGAATGCACATAGACTTTTTTAAGTAGTACATTTTGTTGTGCTGGACTTCCTTAGTGCTTTTCAAAGCGCGTTCTGGAAAGAGAATTTTAGGCATTTAATTTAATTTTTTGATGTACTTTTAATTAGTGTTTCATTCCAAGATTTAGTACTGGATACGATTACTAAATGGTATTTAGAAATATAAAATAAACCTATACTACTTTTAGAGCAGATTTTTTTTTAATTAGGAATTTTGCATGTACATATATATATAATTTATCGATCATTTTTTTTTATTATTATGATAATCTCATTGTCATTGGATTTATTTTGACTTAATACCCCCAAAAATAAATTCAGCGATTTTAAGATCCATTATAATAAAAGTTTTATGAGGATATCCTAACCCAAACCTTTTCTCATAACATTATATTACATCTTATAGCGACTTGTGATGAATAGTCACGAATAACATTTATAGATCTGGTGCTAATTGATATCATTTTGTAACTTTTATTGGGTCACGGGTTGGGTTTGGGTTTAACTCGGACCTGACCCGACTCGAATCTAACACTTTCTCCGACCCAAACCAAGTCCGCTT